CAACAAATGCCATTAGGTGTCGCGGATCCTTAAATTCTCGAAAATGTGTAGGCGGCACATGGTCTTCATAACCCTCATCAGCACAGAAGTGAAGTATGAAACTCTCATCCTCTTCAGGTGGATATGGAACATGAGTGAAAACTTTGATTACTCTAGGCATCACCGGAAGCTCAAAACATGTCTCCAAGCAAGGAGTAGGAGCAACACCGTAATCAAACTGCACCATAGAAAAGTCTTCTTCTTCCTCACAAATATCATGAAAATTCACAACCTCTCCTCTGGACTCTGTATCACTCCCCATGAAGGCATCCCAACTCTCGTTAACATCGTTCTCATCAGGGTCTTCTTGGATGATGTTGTCACTCTCCGTACAAAAAGGAATATCATCAAGTAGTGAATCAAAGAAATCCAAATCTGAAACCACGTAAGAGTGGATCGGTGCAGGTGTACAAGAAGGGTAATCTTGCTTGTGGAGCGGGACTTCTTCATTACGGACATCATCTACCTCGCCCCCACTCTCTTGGAGCATGTAATCATCTTTTCCCAACTCATCTTCAATACCCAAACCTACCTCAGTAGCTCCATCATCATGACTGATCTGCTCCTTTCCCTCATCAGGTGTTGAGACTAATGGTAAATCAAACGGCTGGGGAGTTTCTGTATGAAAATCACAATGATTTGTGACTTCATCAGTTACAGCTTGTACCGTTTCAAACTTTTTCCTGTATTCTTGGAAAAACAACTTGACACTATTATCTTCTTCTTCATCTTCAAACATAGGAGGGTCTTCAAAAGCATCAGGAAATGTATCATCCATCATATTTCCACCATCATAGTCTGACTCGCTCACGTGATCATCCCTATTGGTCTCCTCGGATTGGTCTTCTACCAGATGGCTCCTTATGGTATTTATATGCTTCATGATGTTTGAATAGCTCTGCTCCATGGCTAAAGAGCTCTGCTCCATGGCTAAAGAGCTCTCCCTTAAAGACTCTAGATACTCAGACAAAGTTCTTGAAAGTGTCTTCTTACACTGATTCTGTGGCTCATTACTTGGCAAGGACGTAGGAGTGACTGAAACATTTGTATTCGTAAATTGTGGGGAGGATGAAGAAGGGTATGCAGTTTCCCGGAAAGGATGGTCATATAGAGGTTTGATGGGGCAAAGACATAAATGGTGACCTCCTCCACAGAAGGAACAAATGCTATCCTTAAAATATTCAGATATTTCCTCAGGCGTTTTAGTTTGAAGAATAAATTCAAGAATGGAGCCTGGTCTTACGCTTACCCAAGGGTATTGTGATGAAGGATAGTAAGAATCAGAATGAAAAGGTTGCGTGGTTGGAGTGTATGGATAAGAAGGCTGAATATTTTGTGGTGTAGGAGAGTAATATTGATGAGGTGTGTAGAATTGAGGAGGAGGAGTGTACGGATGGCATGGTGCAAATGGTGAATATTCCATGGAGGTTTGATGGTAAGGAATTCCTCCAGAAATTTGGTTGAATGGGTTCATCTCATGTCTCTTTGAAAATTACCTGAAAGGTTAGCACAGAAAAATCCCACGGAAAAACTAAAAGAAAACTAACTAAAAAAAATCTCGCTAAAATTAATTAACCCTTAAAACCGACACCGTCCCCGGCAACGGCGCCAAAAACTGATGTGAGTTTTCTCGCACTTAAAATAGATCGTAATATAGTGGTGTAAGTACGAGTATTGTCTCCACATGGACGGACAAAAGGGAATTAAAATTAACTAAATTCAGCGATTAAAAAAAATAAAATAAAAGCGTCGTGCGAGATTGGTTGGTTTGGAAAATAAAACTAATGCGAACAATTAAACTAGGGGGTTCTTTCTAATTAATGACGAAGGGAACAAGGATCGATTCCGGGGTAACCTGACGTGCACTTGTCGTGAGGTGCACTCAAAATAATATTCAATACAACAATTATACGTAGTATAATGAAGTAAGGTTCGTATCCACAGGGAAAGGAATACTTCTCTTTTTATAGAAATAAATAGTAACAAAGGGGGGGATTTTGATGTTTGGTTGATGAACTTAAATTATATTTAACACAAAGATGAATGACTTATGTGGTTTAATTAATAGGGATGAAGACTTGGTTTTGCTTTTATCCACTTAATGAAATGTTCGTCGATCCCGGTTATATCTTTAACTATCTTCCTCTCGAATACTCAATCGAGGAGTATATCCAGTTCATCGAGGGTAGTTATTAATAACGAGATGCGTTCATTAATAAAACTTACTATCGAGTTAATATAGAACAAGCGCCATACATTAACTTGATAGTAGCAATAAACTTAAGATGAAAACGATTGAGATTGATAACCTCAACACAAGCGGTTTATTGGTTTAATCAATATAATTAATTCCCCTGGGCTTATTAACCATGAGAAACATGTATTAACAATCCAAGTTTACTACCATTGAAAGAACCGAATTAATAACAAGCGTATTAACCGATTGATTCTAGTAATAATTAATGTATAGAACAAGACTAGTTGATACTTTAAGTAATGCTCAATATATTAATATGGGATATGAATAGGAAGTAATTAATATTCAAGGAAGAAGATTAAAGAAAATAACTCACAACTTACAAATCATTAAGCTTCAAAGTAGCAAAACCAAGATGAAAGAGTTTAGCTCCTCATTTGGAGACTAAACATGATGAAAAATATAAAGAAAGAACTTGTCTAAACTGAGCTAAGAAGTATATGTGAATTGGTGAATCTATTGTGTAGGAAAGGAGGTGTATTTATAGGCTTTTTTGGGGTGCAGGTCGGGTACTCGATCGAGTATATATATGTACTCGATCGAGTATGTGTAGAAAGCTGAATTCGATCCATACTCGATCGAATTCAGAGTAGAATTCATAGCTATACCCGATCGAGTATGTCGGTGTACCCGATCGGGTATAGACACTCGATCGTGGGGAAATCTTCTTCTGCATGTTCCTTTGTTTTCGGATCCGATCCGATTTGAAATTTCAACCAGATACTCGATCGAGTAGAAGAGATACTCGACCGAGTATAGACAAAAATCAGGATTTCCTTCTTTTGTCTTGTGATTTTGCACCTTCCTTCCACTTTTGGGGTTCACCAACTGTCCTTGAGTGATGTTAAACCTGTTTGAGCTCAGAATAAACCTAATCTAAACAATTTACAAGAATTTAACAAACTAAACTATTACACCGAAAGTGTGTAATTTCCGTAATACTAAACAATCAAAACTAACTAAAAATGTAAATAAACACACGGAAATTACAAGCACGATCGTGCCTGGCTGGCAGTAACTCCGCGGTGCTTTTCTCTTCAAGCACGATCGTGTCTGACTTTGAGGGCACGATCGTGCCTACTTAACTTCCGAATTTGACAAAACTTCCTTCAGGAAAGTTGTAGATAATGAAGTCTTCTATCCAACCCAATTTGCCTAATGTGATTTGAATCATCCAATCAAGAGATATGATCAAAACGGTGGAAGGTGTCTTTCTGAAATCGCAGCAGAGATCATCTGACTTCATCGTCTGTTTTCACCTTCTTCCTCTCATATTCTCGCAAAGGTGTCTTCATATGATTTGTAGCCCTTGAAGTTGACTTTCCTATGGAACTTGAATCGTGTACATTGGATGTTTCTACAAAGAGATATGCTTGAAAGATTGACAGAAGGTCATCCTGATCGTCGTTTTCAAGCTTCATTCATCTTCTTTTGACCCCGTAGCCAATCCTAGAGCTCTTTTTCCTTCAAATCTTCATCGTGAATCTTCCGGTGACCTCCAAAGCTATCAAATCATTCTCAAATGCTTCTCAAATCATCCCGATTGTTCCTCAAGTGCCGGTGCCGGGCTCAAATTCCCTAATTTTGACTACAAACAACACAAAACTCGAACCAACGCCCGGTAAACACAACTTGAGCTAAAATTGAGACTTGTAACACCTTAAAACTAGGAAAATCATCAAAAGCCGATCTCAACACGCATCAAATACGTGTCAAAATACGGACTTATCAAATTCCCCCACATGTGATAACGGAATTCAAACACATGAACCACTTTGATAAAGAATGAAACACATGACCCTATCTGAAAACGGGCTCAACCACAAGTACTTTTTCCGTACTTTCCCTTAGTTTTATTATAAACTGCCTATGCTATAGAGTTTAGATTATATGTTCTTTCAATACTTCTCTCCCCCGACTAAATATTAGAAAAATCTATTCAACATAAATAATATTGGGCATTTATCCAATCGCGCAACGCGCGTGTAAAAAACTAGTATAGTACAATAAAGGGTAAATGATCGAATAATGAAATCAGGATAATACATATCAATTCAATAAAAGTATGTGAGGGTAAGAGAGTAAGCGAATAACAAACTTGCCAAATATAAAAAAAATTGAAGTGTCAACATTATTTTGGGTCAAGAAAGAGGAATTTCAGAAGGGAGGGAGTAATACTTCGTAGGTGAGAGCAAAAAGTATACATTAGATCTCTACTATACATTGATAAGTAACATGGAAGTATTAGGCGTTTAAATCACTTTGCAACATCCAATAATTATATCACACACAATAATGTAGCTGATATATATGTAATGAAACTATAATTGCACTTTGGTGAATGAATATAAGTAAGGTGTTTGTAACGTGTAAGGAAAAAAAAGAAAGCCATGCCGACGAAGTAGAATATTTTTTTTTAACTTTTTTTTTAAATATTAGTTCGTATTAAATACTATCATCCGTTTCTTTTTAATCGCAACATGTTGAATTTTACACTATTCACGTGTTCTACTTTGACTACATTTTACGGTATTATTTTACGAAAATTATTTTTTAAAAAAGATATTGTTCAATTCATCTCATTAAAAATTTTCAAAATCTGATTTTTAATTATTTTTAACTAATAGAGATTAAGATATAATCACGATCAAAGATGTGCGTTGGCAAGTGTGAAATGTTGAACGTTACAACTAAAAAAGAACGGAGGAAGTATTAAAAGTGAACGGGGGCAAACATTTTGGAACGATAAGAAAGAAAAAGTTATGAATATGAATAGAAGTGTGGGTGTTTTAGTGTGAGAGGGAAGAAGAAAAGGAGAAGGATCTCTCCACAAAAGTAAAGCGTTGTGGGGAAGCCACCCACAAAAAGCAAAATTATAGGGTACGTAGTATTAATCTTCATTTGAAACTTCATTGTTGTCGTCATCATCAATCTCGGAACTATTGTTTGAAGGAAAGCATGAGCCTCCCATCTGATCTGGTTGACAGGAAGAAAAAGTCGGGTCGGGTTACGGAGACGGCAGTCAACACCAACCGGCCGCCTTCCCGACGAGGCCGCATCATCTTCACCCCATCACCAAGTCCCGCCCGACCTTTGGTCGTTGAAGTCAGCGGAGGCGGGAAGCGGGCCTTGATTTTGTCACCCGAAATCATCCCCGCCGGCTTCGTCGGTGATGGTTCCGACGCTGCCGGCGGCGGCTTCCCAATCAATTCCTCAATGCTCCGAGTCATATCGAAGCCAGTTTCGCAGCCCAAGCCCTCGGTACACATCTCTAGGCTTTTCGTACTCAGTGCGGATAAGGAGCGGCTCTTACGCCGCGGAGGCGGCAGAGGCAGAGGCGGGGACACTCCCTCGGCCCCCGCCTCTGCCGCCCCTTGTTGCGGCCGTGCATTTTTATTTGCCAGCTCCTCCACAAGAAAGCTCCATCCACCCTCGCTCGTGCCGCTGCGGCCGGTCTCAGAAACGCCGTCGTCCCCGGCCGGAACATCGTCGCCATCATCAGTGCATGGCTTCCGGTCATGCTGACTCAAGTGCGGCGGCTTTTTGTGATCATCAGAGTCGCAATGCCCGCCGCTTACAGACTTCACCATCATGTTTAATTTGTTAATCTCTCACCCGAAAGAAACTATATATATATATATATTATTGTGATGAACGGCGAAGCCGGTGGCATTTATAGGATGTACTTGTATATATGAGATTACGCTGATCAGCCTCCATGTGAAATATACTCCGCATTTGGAAATTTTTTGAAAATTAATTAAGGGAAAGTTCCCGAAATAGGACTAAAAAAGTTTGAAAATTCCAAAATAGGACTGTCATGTTTTTATTCCCAAAATAAGAGTAATTACTGCCAAGTTTGGAAAATACTGTCATGTTTGAAGTCTGATACTGCCAAAACATGGCAGTAATTAGTCTTATTTTGGGAATAAAAACATGACAGTCTTATTTTGGAATTTTCAAACTCTTTTAGTCCTATTTCGGGTAATATCTCATTAATTAACTAAGAATGAGGTACTTTCTAAATTAAAGTAGAGTATCTGCAAAAATAAATAGAGTAAGTTATGCATTCTAAAATCTTACTTTCATAATGATTCTTTTCCTAAATAGAGTTATTGAATTATTCTGAAATCATAACGTAGTGTAAAAATAGCAGCATAATCTCATTATAATAATATCCTAAAGTCTTAGGATTGCATAACCTCTTTGTTTAGAAAAAATAGTATTCATATATATGAAACTCACATATTTTACTTCTATTTATGGCATTTCTTAATGAATTTTCGAATATATATATATATATATATATATGTGAAGCATTTAATATTAAAAGAAACTCTAAGTCCTCAAAACTATTGAGCATATCAATATTAATTGTCAAAAACCCTTAAAAGATCAGTATTGTACCCAACGACCCGTGCGATGCACGGGTCACACAGATAATAATGATTATAACATATTGTTATTTTAGCTAGAACTTGTGAATATTAAAGTAATTTGTAGTCTCATTTTTGGAACTTAAAAAAAGAGGTCTCTTTTTTGTCCATCTCTCTTTTTTTTATTAATATTTTAGACATAACCCCTAAATGTAATAAAGTGATGGAGTTTAATCCAACTACGAGAACTAAATCTACCAAAAGTATGTGAAACGTATTTAAAAATATGAAAGAATATGGCAGCGTAAGGCAGTATACTCTTATTCTGAAGGATTAATCGGCCGTCCCCTGGTAGGGTGTTTACAAGAAGTATTTATAGACTTTAGGAGTCATTATTCTAAGAGGAAACCAATACAATAAATGCTATTTAATTACACTAGTCTTTTACCCGTGCGTTGCACGGGGTGACAAACTAACAAATTACCTGAGAAATTGTCTAGTAATTCCAAGACTTATGCACGTTCACTTAAATTATTTCTATTGATAACTTTATTATCAAAATTTACTCTTGATCATGAAAAAGCAACTATGACAGAAACGAAAGAGGTTAGCCTTCTCCCAACAAAAGACTGATAATAACTTGGCAAAATATGACGGTCAGCCGCCCAAAATTAAATACAATTGTAGTCTTTCTATTAAAAACGACTTGCTCAACGAAGCACGTGCCCGAACTCCTACTAATAGCTATTACAATTGATCATTCATGCACATTGTGTGATCCCCATAAATAGCACCCGATATACATATTTCATCATGCACATGATAACACACCAATTTAAGAATCCAAAATAGCATATATAAGACAGTTGAAAACTTTTTCTGGTATAGAAAAACCATGAAGAACATTTATAACAGTGAATACAAATTTGGTAACAATATTGACATTAAGTTTCCAAGTAATAAAACAAATTGCATGAATGCAAAGAAAACAATTTGTCTCTATAGAATACCAAAACACTGTTAGGTGAGCATAATATCTTAGTACGTTTTGCATGAAACTCCTATGATGATTTCAACTGATTGAAGAAATAAAACTTATCGGATTGGCAAAGCTTTTCTTCCGAGCTAGCTGATAGAAACAAAAAGACTTCTACTCTCTTCCAGAATACATTTGAAAAGACTTGAACTATAAAAGCAGCCAACAAAGAACCTCTTGAGTATACAAATTTGAAATTACCCTGAAAAAAGGGAGGATAAATTTTAAAAGCGTGACAGTATATGTCGTGCTTGACATGATAAGAACCAATAATGAAATAGATAAAAACTAAGAGATAAATTACTTTCAATTTCCATTTTAAAAAGCATGGACTAAAAAATACATAAAGTTTCACAACATCCATTTTTTTCACAATGGCCTGGAATCTTTTGATGTTGAGTGGCATCTTTTTCTAAAGAAGTGTAATAAATGCAATAAGCATTCTAAGATACAAATCCATTGGATTTTTTTGTTAAGTGAAAGATCACGCTCATGATCTTTGTGTTCGCCTAAAAAAAGTTAGTACTATTAACTCTAACCTCAAATTGCATAATTCAATGAGGGGCCGTTCTATTGAATTTTGTCATTCGAGTCATATACACAAGCATGCTGGACAATATAGCTTATATGTGTATGCCCTAAACAAATCGGATTGGCATACTCAAATTTGAGCTTTGATGATGAAGAAAAAAAATTGACTAAATTGATAAATTGTTCTGGAGCAGATAAAAAATGTGCATTTTTAAAATTGGGTGAATCTGAAAAAGACAACCGGTATCCAATGAAATACAAAATACCCAATCACATCATGTAAAATCAAAGAATTACTTGTATGAAAGTGTAGTTACTCACATGTTTAAAGTAGTTAAAGTAAACTTTAATGTTTAGATCAGTTGATTTTAAACGGAAGTTAGAGCAGAATAGGGGCGATTAGTTAGATTAGATTATGTTGTTGAGGTTTCACTGTTTCAAGATTGCTTTTACGATGGGTTTAAGAGATTTTTTTGTTCTCAATGTGCATTTCTGGTTCAGATTTAGAGGTTTTTCTTTTTTGTTTTTCTTATCATTCTGTATTGCTGAGCCAAAACTTTTCTTAGACGATTTATAAACTATCTCATCAATAATCACGCGAGTCACAAAGACTGTTTTTGATGAAGTGAAATTATATTATTTGAAGTCACATTGGACTCTAATTTATTTATTCACATGATAGTACGTTGCTTCACTTTATCAATTGCGGTCAAAACATACTACATTACTTTGCAGCCACACTTATGGTTTGAAGTTTTATCCCAAGAATAGAACATCTAATGCAAACAAAGTATTGGCATGAATAATTTCTTTGCTTGAAAAAATGTGCTATGTATTACACTTATGGGTTGAAGTCTTAGCCCAAGTATATAAGATTTAATGGAAAAATAATACTCCGCATATAAAAAAGAAAGAAAAAGGTAACATGTACTCCGTATTTAAGTAGATAAGCTGCATTTATTTCACCCTTACAATCTTAATGCTCTCAAATCTTAATCCTATAAGAAAGAAATAATTACTTTTAACTCGCAATGTCCCACATGTTAATTACACAAAAATTGGATTTCATAAAGGGAAAGAACTGCACTTTTTAACTAAACTTGTGTATGAACTAAACTAAAATGTTATGTATAAACGTGTATTTTTACGCTATAAACTGAACTTTTGATTCTCATGATTTTTTCTCATCAAGGGATTAATAAAGAAAAAATGTTTTCACTTGTTGTCATTATAATATCTAGAAACAAAAACAATGACAGTTCATAGGTAGGAGTAAAGACAAACAAACACTTGAAAAGTTGATATGACCAATTTCTTAGTTTAAAAAATTGTAGTATGTAGTACTACGTATACTGAAAAGCTGCATTTTTACTACTTAGCATGCCCAAAATCTTATACGGAGTACTTAGCAATTTATTATATTTAATGAGAACTCAATCAGATTCTCAAAATTGGGGAGATCAACGCTGCCATTAATCAGACAGGAAAAAGGAAAAAATGCATTGGGTATAATACTAACTATTAAAAAAGAAAGCCATCAAAATTCGGGAAAAAAACTTTAAATCTGAAAACCCAAGGGGTCTGCATTATGTATTATACTGAAAAAACTGCATTTTTAAGTACTTATAGTCTTGGTATTCGCAAATCATAGCCCAAAAGCAAAGAAAGGAAATTAAATGAAACTCTGACTCCTTATTTGTAGAGTTCTAAAATAATGAGTTAAAGTTTCATGTGTGAATCTGATGAAGTAATAGAAAGCAAGATCATCAAGCTAGAAAGCACTATAGTTTTTAGTCAAACTAAAAGAGATTTTCAAAAAATTGATACTGCCCTTATTCCCCTTAACCATTTTGCAATGTTGTTCATTTATTTAGCATTTCTATATGCAATCACTTAAAGAATAATTTCACCTAAACTGCAGGTAGCACTGTGATGAGAGATCCAGAAGGCTCAACCTTTTTTGCAGTTGGCTTCCCTTTCCTAGCTGATTCCGTTCTTGGTGCAGATATTGGAATAATAAGTAGAGCTTTACAGTGGACTGTTCATGCTGGTTACTCTGATTTCATCTTGGAATTTGACTCCATGGATGCTATCACTATTCTTCAAACGACTGAATACTCGGGCATCTGGTATCAAGAATGGAGGAAATTGATAAGACTGTGGGAAGATAAAAGAATCAATTTTGGCCATTGCTTCAGAGAGGCGAATCAATTGGCACACTCTTTAGCTCAACATATTATGTGCAGCTCAGATTTTTTGCGGTCAAAACATACTACATTACTTTGCAGCCACACTTATGGTTTGAAGTTTTATCCCAAGGATAGAATATCTAATGCAAAGAAAGTATTGGCATGAATAATTTCTTTGCTTGAAACAATGTGCTATGTATTACACTTATGGGTTGAAGTCTTAGCCCAAGTATATAAGATGTAATGGAAAAATAATACTCCGCATATAAAAAAAGAAAGAAAAAGGTAACATGTACTCCGTATTTAAGTACATAAGCTGCATTTATTTCACCCTTACAATCTTAATGCTCTCAAATCTTAATCCTATAAGAAAGAAATAATTACTTTTAACTCGCAACGTCCCACATGTTAATAACACAAAAACTGGATTTCATAAAGGGAAAGAACTGCACTTTTTAACTAAACTTGTGTATGAACTAAACTA